CACACACACACACACACACACACACACACACACACACACACACACACTCGTTTCTCTACTTCACCACTGGGGACCCATTCAACCCACAGCTCAGGGGCTCAGGGGCACTGAAAGAGAGAGCCAGAGAGGGGCCCCTGGGAGCCGAGAGGAGAAGGGGGGGTGGGGAAGAGAGGGCCTCATCCTTTGTAGCCGAAGGCTGGGAAGGCTGGCAGCCCACTCCAGCTAGACTCTGTTAGCAGGATACTTTTTTCTAATTGAGGTTTCCTCTTTGCTAGAGGCAGTAATTAGGGCAACTCCAGTGCAGGGATGAGGCTTCTGCCTCCCACTGAATAGGGTGGGGGCAGGGAGGGAGGGAGGGAGGGAAAGGAGGGGGGAGGGGAAGAGAGTCCACGCTATCCATCCCAGCCCCAGGCTTCCATCAATAGCACCCGCCTTCCCAAGTCACCCCAAGGCAAGGCTTCTTAATCTACAATCTGTGGAGAAAAATATTTGGATAACTATTTCAAAAAAATTGGTTTCCTTTGTAATCCTGTGTATTTTATTTTATGCATTTAAAACCATTATTCTGAAAAGGGGTCCCTAGGCTTCCCCCAACTACAAAAAGGGGGCCCACAGCATTCATAAAATGTTAACAATCCCTGCATCTCTTTCTATAATAAGGAGGTTATCTGCTCTGGCAGCCAGCTTTAGATTTCCTCCTTCCTGGAGCCCCAACCTCATCTGTCATGTTCCTCCCCCCCCACCCCGCCCCATTTAGCATCTCTTTTGCCTCCTTGCCAACGTCAAACACCATACAGAGATGAAGCTCAGCTCTGAGTCACCCCAGGAAAGCCTAAGCAATATTGTGACCTCTCCCCATTCCCTGGGGGCAGGGGAGTCCCCATCTCCCCCTCCTTCACTAGAGGCCCCTCCTCACCAGTAACCCTCCCACGTGCCCACTTCTTTTTCTCAAGGGTCCTGTAGCCCTCCCACACAGGTATTTTCCCCCTCCCCTCACATACACAATAGGGAATTCCATGAACACTACCCAGCCTTAGTCACAGACAGTTAATCAATCCATCCATCCATCAATCCGCATTTATGAAACCTGCTAGCGCTAGCAACACGAAGCCGTAAATGAAGCAGTTCCCATCTGGCCCCCAACACTTCCCCTCCCTTTCTAGATAACACTCAGTACTTCCCCCAGATTTGCCAGAGGCACCCACAAAGGGGACGCCCTCTTCTCCAGGGAAATGCAGCAACAACCTAAGCTGCAGGTACCCATACAGGCACACTGGGTCAGCTCTGTTCTCCCCCAGGGCACCATCTTGTGGTCTGACCCCAAACCAGCCAGGGAGTCAGGCTGGAGGTCTGAACAAGAATCAATTTTAAAAGTTGAGAGAGCCTTTAGAGTGACCTCACCCAATCCCCTCAGTTCTACAGAGGAAGGAACTGAGGTCCAGAAACAGGTGGTGACTTTCCTAAGGTTGTCCAGCCAGTTAGTGGCAGAGACTACCCTCTCCCCCCCCCCCCCCCGCCAAAAAAAAAAAACAGAAGCAAAAACAACCAACTCAGTGCTCTCAAGGGTTTGGTGGTCAGTGGAGTTCTTGCCAGATTGAGAGTATGAATCAGAATTTCAAAACTGGAAAAAACCTAGATCATATAGTCTAACCCTGCCCATTTTAACAGATGAGGAAACTGAGGCACACAGCTAATAGGTGGGAGAACCAGGATTCAAATCCCAAACTCCCTGCCAGACTCCCTGGGACCAAAGGGAGCTCCTGATTAGACCTTGGTTGGATTAGATGATTTCTGAAGTTATTTCCAAATCGGGGAGGATTGAGAATTTTGTTTCTCCAACTATTCAACACTGCTGTTGTCTAATCAACAGTGCTGCACGCTCTCTCTTCTTTCTGTCTGTCTGTCTGTCTCTCTGGTCAGTCTCAGCATTGGGGAAATAACAATAGCTCCTACCTAGGCTCTGATCTCAAGGAGATTATCACTAATTTGAGGAAGGCCAAGCACTGAAATAGATGATTAGAGGAAGAACAAGCCTCTCACTTTAATTTAATTCACTCACTCAACAAGCATTTAAGAACACAGTAACACAGGTACGAGGGGCTAGGGCTGGGGCTGGGGCTGGGAAAACAAATCAAACAGTCTCTGGCCACAAGAAGCCTCCGTTTTGTTGGTAAGGAATTTGAGACCCTTGAGATAGAAGGGCCTTGCCCAGTGTGCTACCCCAGGAGTGGAACTAAGATTCTGACTCAGGTCTTGGCAATGGGGTTAAGTGACTTGCCCCAGGGTCACACAGCTAGTAAGTGTCAAATGTCTGAGACAGCATTTGAACTCAGGTCCTCTTGACTCCAGGGCCAGAGCTCTATCCACTGGGCCACCTAGCTGCCCCTAACTCAGGTCTTCTGGCTCCAAATTTGGTGGTCTTTGTAACAGTCTCCCACTAAACCAGCACTTGGCCAGAGCAAACTTAACTCCCTCGCCTCCTCCTCCTCCTTCTCAGTAATGGCCCCATCTTGGAGTGATAAAGAGCCTGGATTCTTAGCCCGTCTCTGCTACCACCTGCACAACCTGGGGAAATCCTGCTTGATCTGCATGTTTACCTCTGTTATTCCGGACAAGTCACCACTCTGGGCCTCCTCTGTAAGTGAGGAGTCTGGACCAGAAGACCTCTGAGGGCCCTTCCAGTTCTAAATCTCTCATCCTATATTCTCTCTCTTGCCTCAGTTTCTTCCTTCGTCAGAAGAGAGGTTTGGACTTGACGATCTCTAAACTCCCTCCATCCCTCCCCGGAGCCTCAGTTTCTTCCTCTGTCAGAGAGATAGAGCTCCCTTTCTGCACTTAGGGGATGATCCTCGGTTCCTTCTTCCGAGAGCGGCAGCGGCAGGCCCGGACCCCACCCAGCCCCGGCCTTTGGTGGGAGGGAGGGATGAAGAGAGGTGGGGGAGGCGGGGTTCAGGGGAAGTAGCCAGGTCAGTCGGGTGGCCTGGGGCCCAGGTCGAATTCCAAAGCCTCCCTGGCCCCTGCTCCCCCTTCCCCCCAGTCCCCTCCCTCCCTCCCTCCCTCCCAGCAGGCCAGGCGAGGGGAGGCCAGCGGGGGCTTCCAATGGGCTTCCAAGGCAGTGTCCTTAATAGGCTTTGGTCTCCATGGGAACCAGGGGGGCAGGAGGGGGAGGGGAGGGGAGGGGAGGGGAGGGGAGGCTGGTGCGCGCGGCTGACCAGTGAGAGCCGCCAAGTTCGGCGGGCCCCGGGGCCACTAAGCAAGATTGGCAGGCGTCGCCCGCTGACCATTGTTTCCCCTGCGGCCGGCCGCGGGCCCCTCGCTCCTGGCCGGTCCCCCTCCCTCCCCACCCCCTCCGCGGGGCCCTTGGCATTCCGGGCTGTCCCCCTGCTCCCCGGCAGCCTATTCTCCCCGGCTCCCCCGGCCTCCCCGGGCCGGTTTCACATGCCAACGCCGATTTAGGTCCGAACAAAAGAGCCTGCCGCTGACGGCTTCTCCTGGGGCCCGGTTGTCATGGTAACCCCGGCCCCGGGGGCAGGCGGCCTCCAATCACAGCTGCTGGATCAGATTAGCGTGAGCTCTAATGCTCAGCGCACAGACACAAAGACACCCCGCTGCAGGCGGCCCGAGGAGGAGCCCCAAGCCTGGCCAGCCAGCCCAGGGAGGCCCCGCCCCCCCCCCCCCCCCCCCCCCCCCCCCCCCCGGGCCTGGGCTCCCTGGGGAGGCCAAGCCCTCGCCACCCAAGGTTACCCACGTGAAGCCCTGCCGCTAGTCCGTCCTTCCTACCTACCTGCCTGCCTGTCTGCCTGCCTGCCTGCCTATCTGCTTGCCTGCTTGTCTGCCTCACCCACCCACCCGGGACTCTGTCTATAGGGACCGGGCTGGCTCACGGACTCCTAGCACGTTAGGGCTGCAGGGGAGCTCCCGCCGTAGAACGTTGGCAGAAAGAACGTTCGAATTTAGAACGTTCAGACATGCCCGGTTAGCGCCGAGGCGAGGGCTTTTAGAATGCCCAGACACACAATGGGAGCGAGAGGAAGGGCCCCTTAGAATGTTTCGGACACAAAGGACCTTAGGATGTAGAATGAGGGACCATAGAAGGTTGGCACTAGAAAGGCCCTAGAATACAGAGTGTCGGGGCACAGACTAAGGGGACTGTAGAACGTCGATCCTTTTCAGAAAAAACCATGAACATGAGTGCTAGAAAAGATCTCAATCCATACAAAGCGAGGACCTAGGAGGCCTCGGCTGAAAAGAGCTCTAGGCTAGAGATGATAATGTTGGCCCTAAGGAAGAACCTCAGAACATTGAGGGTTTGACAAGCTATCAGAGCTGGAAGGGACTTTGGGCTATGGATCGGCGGTTGTTAGAAGGACATTTAGAGATTCACTCCAGCCACCTCATTTGACAGATCAGGAAACTGAGGCCTAGAGAAGGGAACTGACTTTTCCAAGTTCCCCACCCCCAAACTTTTGCCTTAACGGGACTTCTTTCTGCTGCTCTTTCCCTGAGACGTCTCCTTTGGGGGATTTCAGGAGGCTGGAAAACTGCAACATAGTGAGTCCAAGTGCTAATCATTATTCCTCCTTGCCCTATTTATACACACATCGAAAAGTACTGAGGCACAAGCCTGAAATATCAATTAGCTCTATTCACATCTTGTCCATGCAGGTAATGGAGAGCCCATATCCTTTCCTCCCAATCTTCTGCACTCCCTGTGACCCTTTCCCATGCCCATAGCCTAGGGGTGGTACAAGCCAGAGTTAGGAAACCTTAAGAGTCTGATCTCCAAGTAGCCAATGTCTCCTCCTGCTGTGCTATAAACACACACATATATGAATTCGCTCACTCACTCTTGAGCACGTATTCAGATTTAAGGTGAATTAAATTTAAATTCAACAGGGAAGAATTTCCCAGCAACCTTTGAGATAACTGGAGATCCTACAGGGGGTTGGGGAAACAGTGTTTTGGGATAGATTAGGAATCTATCCTTTTAGAGAGCCAGGTCAGGGGGACAGTTCCCCACCCTTCCTGACTGAGTGGGTGGAAGAGAGCAGAGTACTGAGTACAGTTATCATCACTAGGAAAGGGGTGTGTGTGTGTGTGTGTGTGTGTGTATGTGTGTTTTTTGGGGGAGTGGAAAGGTGCAACTAGCTGCCTGCAGCCCTGGACAGGTGCAAACTCCCAGGAGGGAAAGGAATAACCACATTGAACCAGCCACAAGGCAAAAGCATAAGAAGACCCCCAGGAGAAGGTAAACAAGGAAAAAACGATCGAGGAAGATCCAGGAATGGGGACAGCTATTGTACGACATCCTCTCTCCTGGGAGATGCCCAGAGTTGGAGGCACAAAGAAGCTGGCCTAGATCCCGAAGGGACCTCTGCCCCTGGGAGGGGCTGACAGAGATGACTACCTGGACCCTGACTGGGGACTTTTCCATCCCTGTTTCTAACAGAAATAATATTAATACTGTAGAGGTCTCACTTACCAATCAGCTTAACAAACAAATATTTCTTGAACGTCTATCAACCATAATCTCTATCCCCCGGATGGCTAACCAGGGTCTGCTTCCTTTAGCTCTGAACCCCCTCTACCCCCAAGGACAAACCCCAAACGTTCAGACCCACCTTCCCAAACTGCTCAAAATATTGCTTCACATCTTCCACTGTGGTGTTCACCGACAGCCCCCCTACAAAGATCTTCTTGGTCCGAGTCACCATCTGTTAGGGGGAGGGGACAGGGAAGTGGGCATCTGAGTACTCCAGCCCAGAACCAGCAGCAGGGGTCTGCTCCCCTGCAGGGACAGCAGCTGACATTCAATACATGGTCCCAGTCCACAGCATGCACCTCCCCAAAAAAAAGCCCACACCAGGACAGCTGCATATTCCAGTAGGCCTGCAGAACTCAATTCTTTCTTCCTTTCCTGTACCTGCCTAAGAAACCAACCTTTGATGTTTTGATCTCACTGGCTTCCCTCCTGGCTCCCAATACAATCTCGACATCCTCACTTCTGCCCTTCTCTGTGCTCCTGTAGAAGCCCAGCCCTGGAGGCTTCACCCTGAAGGTGGGGCCCACAGAGGCCTGACCCAGAGGATGGGGTCTGTGCTCAGGTCTGCTGGGAAATTCTGAAATGGGGATATCCCCGCGTCCCCCCACTGCCACTTCAGGGGAGGCCAAGACCCACAGCATCCCCTCTCAACCAAACTCTCCCACATTTCTCTCAGCCACCAACCTCTGGCAGCCCCTCAGCCCCAGCTCTGCTTTGGGAAGAACACATGGTCCTAATTACTCCAGGCGCGCATGGCTAATCCAAGACGGTTCCCGGCCAGTCCTAACTCTAAAGCACCTTCTGTCACTGAACTGCTTAATGGAATTAACCCAGTTCTGACCATGTGCTTGCTTCCTGGTGCGGCTAACTTGAGATACCTGCTCAGTAATTGTTTTCAGTTCCTGGGCCTGCTCCCCTCTCAGACCAGTCCCCTGCCTGCCTCCATATACTTTCTCCCTTTTCCCCTCTGTTTTCAGTGTGCAGTCTTCCAAGCAAGCTCTCAAGGTGAACCGCCTTAATGCAGACCCCCCAATACAAAAAAGGGAGAAACTGATGTTTCTAGAGAGGGTGTGACTTGCTCCTAGGTGACACGAAGAACTGCTAGTAAATATATATACATGTATGTATATAAATATATATATATATACACATACACACACACATACATACATATACATATACACACATATATAAAATTGGCCTCAAATTCAAGGATCTTAGCTCAGTTACTATAATGAGGCCTCTGGTCTCTAAACCCACAAGTGGTGCTAAGACTATAAGTTCCAGACAGGCTTGGGGGCCCTAGGAAAGGGAGGGATGATAGCAGGGCATGGATAAATGGGTGGGGAGGTTGGGGGTGCTATTTCTTAATTTAAAAAAGTTTTCAAAATAATTTCCCATAAAACATTAACCATTAATACAATCAATTAATAACTTGCTTCCAAATTATTGACATTTCAATGAATGAGAGGAAAAATCAACCCATAATATGTCTTAACTACTTTTGAATCCCTCCTTTCTAAATTCTCCATGAAGATGCTTTGTGTATTCATGCTTATTCAATTTTTCTTCTTCTATGGGTGAAGATTTCAAGGTTCTGTACTTGACTCAGAGGCCAGAATTCCACATTTCTATTCCCAACCTCATCCAAGACAGAAGGTTATAGCTTCACTGACTCAGAAATCAGGTTTTTTCCCCTTGAACCCATCCCCTAATTCAGAACAATTCCCCAGAGGCACAGTGAATGAGGACACCTGGGAACCAGGCCAGATCCACCTGAATTGAAAGGCAACAGGTGACTAGGTGTCTGGGACTCAGAGAGAGTGGGATTCATTACTAGGCTTCAGGCCACTCTCCTGCCCCATTCCTTTCTCTCTCCTCTCTTAAGCCCTAACCAGAAAAATCAGTGGCAGTGAACAGGGCCTCTCCTATGCCCTACAGCTAAGAAAGTTCAGACTCGGGGTTCAATTCAGTCAGACCTTTGTCTGCTAGTAACACCGAACATAAAACCCTCCAACCCTCAAAGTCACCTTGTATCTGCCCCCCTTCTTATAATATAAGTTCTTGAAGGCAGGGAAGGTTTTGATTTTTTTTTGGATCTCTAGCACCTAGTAGGTGCTTGTTAATACATGCTTGTTCATTGATTGATCCTATATCTTCGTTCCCCATAAAGTATGGGTTTCTTCCACCAATCACGCAAAGGTGGTATTTGGCACAGTGCTAGGCTTTAGAGACACAAAAACAAAAGTGAGTCCCTCCTCTAATCCCCAAGGAGCTTATTATAACTTCATGGCACCAAATTCACCTGCAGTGTCCCACCCATACCCTCCCTGTTCATTCCCTCCATGTTTTCCCTGCTGCCACACTCTGCTTCATCATCAGGGACCTAAGCTTGAAGGGTCATTGGTGAGAATTGGGGGAAGGCCTATCTTGAAGCCATAGGAAGTATTCACTTCTAAGCTAAAGGACCATGGCCCTCTAGGTCAAGAATAGGAAGAAAATTTGTATGTATGGGGGGAGGGAGGGGAAGGGAGGGAATGGCGATCTCTAGTCACCGCATATTAGAGATGAGGGAAGTGTTCAAAGTCATGGGCACACACAACTTACCTTGGGCTGTGCTCGACGAGGGAATGCAACCTTGGGATCGATCTGAAACAGAATGGGAATATGAAATATGCTTGGACTATAGGCCTCCAAGCAGACATGCAGTAGATATATATAGTCATATGTGCCCAATTCTACAAGTAATTATTAAGCATCTACATGGCAGGGACTATTTCCCTTCAGGTTTTTTGTATCTCCAGTGACAAATACACAGTGCTTTGCACATGGTAGACTTTGAAAAAAATATTTGTCAATGAATGAACTATAAACTCTTTAATAAGAGGCAGCAAGTGGTTCAGTGGGTAGAGCGATAGGCTTGAAGTCAAGAAGATCTAAGTCATGTATGTTTGCCTCAGTTTCCTCAATTGTAAAACAGGGATAATTAATAGCTCCTACCTCCCAGGGTTGTTGTGAGGAACAAATGAGATAATATTTGCAAAGGGCTTAGCACAGTGCCTGGCACATAGCAGTTGCTATATAAATGATTATTACCTTCCCCTAGCATGTCCCTCAGCTCCTGGCTCTTTTCTCTTGCTATGAAGTAAGAACTAGCTGATAACTGGATCATCACTCTGGGGCTGGAAGGGACCTAAGAGGTCATCTATTCCTGTTTACAAATGAAGAAGTTCAAGGCCAGGGAAGTTTATGTGACTTGCCCAAGGTCATTCAGCTAATGAATGACAAATGGAATTTAATGTCCTGTCCTCTGAAGGTAAACCAGCGTTCACTTCACTTTATCAAGACAAAGGCTATCTAATGGACATCCTTCCATCAGGATTTGAAGGACCTGCTATATTATAAACCCAAGGCCTGTTCGCAGGCTTTACCAATTTTGCCCACAAACTTTGGGGGGGGGGCAGATAGGACATGTCCATTTACTGCCCTGAGAAGCCAGCTAATACCCAAAATGCACTGCCTCAAATTTGGTTTGGGTGCCCCCAAAAAAGCCTATTGGAGATTTCTAGACATAGGCATGAGAGCTGCCAGTGAGCCCAGATTTCCTCCAGCTGGAGCTTAGTTCTCATTCCCACCCCCTTCCGCCATGTTGAACCATTGATCACAAGACTTTAGCAAGATCAGAGCTGCCTCTCAGGTTTGCTCCTGGACAGGTGCAGCCAATTCTGGGGTGATACCCAATTCTAAGCAGGGTGGGGAACTGAGGTGCTGCTGCTCAGGCAGCAGAGGGGAAGGAAGGGATTCACTTTATACTGTTCTCTTTGGAATTCATTTGTGAGCACTATCTCCAGCCCTGGCACCATCCTTCAAGGCTGCTGATGGACATCAAAGGCCAATGGGTACAATACAGAACGAGGCAGCAGAGATAATGTAGCAAGGCAGCCCTTTGCAAAGAACTCTGTCTCTACTCCCTAACATAAAGAAGGAGGAGGGGTAGGTAGACAGACCTTTGACATTTTAAAATTCATAACTCATGCCCCCCCTCCCCCTGCATTATCCAGCCACAGGAAAGACTTCTTGCTCAAACAGTCTAGAAAACTCATTCCTCTACAGCTAGAAACTTACAGGCCCTGCTTAGGAAACCTGCCCACAGATCACAGACTCTGGAGGCAAAACAGACCTTAGAGATCACCCAGTCCAACTTCCAATTTTACAGATAAGGAAACTGACCATGGAAGGAAAAGTGACAAAAGAGGAAATAAGAGAGCTAAAATTTGAACCCAGATCCTCTGACCCCAGATCTGATTCTTTCCACCGTACCTTTCAAAACAGGATCCATCCGTTCTCTTCCCACCCCCACCCCCTGAAAAGCAGATGCTAGGATGACCCATCTGGCACCATTCCCACTAGCCCACTGGCCCAACTGGTCCCCAGGAAAAATGACAGCTGCCCACTTCCTCTCACCAGTATTGTGATTCCCAGCCTGTCTTTTCTCTGCTTCTCCTACTCCCCCCAACCACTCTCTCATCTATTCACTTGTCAGAAAGAACCAAAGGTTTACTGCCTGGCTGTGCAGCACACACACACACACACACACACACACACACACACACACACACACACACACACAGAGCACATGGGAGAGTCACACATAGCCCCATGAAGACGTAAGCAGTCACAGATTCACAGACCTACTGAATACACACTCAAACACAACCCTACCCCCCCCTCTGACTCAGAACCCAGCAAACTAAATAAATTCAACAAGTAAATAAAAAGTGAAAGTCAGAACCCAAAATAAACTGCCGAGTAAACCTCTTCTCCCATCCCTTCCCCACAGCCTGAGGTCTCCAAACCAAGAGCAGCTTGCCCTTCCTGTATCTCCCAGGGATATCCATCTCACCCCTTTCCCACCTCCTTCTTCCCCTTTTGTGCCCACTCGGCTCCCTGGGCCCACGCCCACCCCCAAATCTCTGGCTTCCTGAATCTTGCCTAAAGCTTCAGTGCATTCTGAGGACAGGGGACCATAGGAGAGCAGGAGGCCCATGGAAGATAATAAGCAAAAACAATGACCCACTGTCTGTCCACTCCCAGCCCATGTCATTCAGCCGCTGCCAAGAAGATGCCTTCAGAGCCCGCAAAGTTGTGGCCTGGCCTCATTTTCTCATTACTCTGAGAGAGAGCCACTGGGCAGAGATAACAGGAGTGCTGGGGCTGGAGGGGACAGATGGTAATTTAACAAATTCTTCTGCACAACTAGTCATTGTTATAGGTAAACAGGAGCCAGTGGCTGACCCGAGCAGGGAGGCCCAGGGCTGGGGAAGTGCCGAGAGAGTGTGGGGGAGTAGAGGGAGAAAGCTCCAGAAAAGATCATACTGTCCTGTCTCGTCGACAGACAGCTTCCACACTCCCCTCAACTCCCCCCAAGCCACTGCCACCCCCATGGGGCAACCCCACGGCCAGGTCACCATCATCAACGTGCTCCTACCACAGCCCCAGCAAATGCCCTCTGCAGGCCCAGGACCAAGGGGTTAACTAGACACTGGCAAAATGTTCCAGAAGTCTGGCTTTTCAACAAGTAAGTTTGGCTTTTCGACTGAAGGACCTCGAGGCCTTCTCCCATAGGGACGATGGCCGATTTCTAGTTCCACATGCCCCATCACCTAGAGCCTAGGGTGGCTTTCCAGAAATTCACCCACCCACCAAAAAGCCCGAGGTCTCCAGACAAAGGGAGGAGGCCCACTGACCCAAAGCAGGGGAGAAGGGAAGGGAAGCAAAGGGAATAGGACACAGCCTCATCACCCTGGGAGAGGGGGAGTCCTCCTACTTCAGGGAGGGGAACTGAGCAGAGCAGGGCAGGTCTTATCTGAGGCAAATACTGGTTAGTAGGAGCCAGAGAGATGCCACAGGGTAGGTCATTACCATCCTGACTCACCCAGGTTGGGCTGGGGGGAGGGTCCAGAGGCTGACCCTAACCCCACCCTAGCTGCCTCCCCCCAACTCCACCCTCAGCTTCTCTTTGGTATTAATACCCAGTCTCTGGAAAACCAGCTTCCTCACTCGCCTCTACAGCAGTTTCTTTAAGGGGGATTGGAGGGGGCACTGATCCTAACTGGGCCTTGGAGTCTCTGGTCCCTTAGAGGACAGAGAAAGGAGCTAGGAAGGGGGCAGGTGAGCACACCAAAACTCCCTCCCAACCCAGTGGCCAAAGACCTGCTGTGGATGGCTCACTGTCATCCAAGTCTGAAGAACAGCTATTGAAACCTGTCTCGGTTTGTCCCCACCACCACTCACCCCCAGCCTCTTTACTCACCGTTTTGGAGTCCAGCTCGTGCCTGGATTGAGCCAATACCTTATCCACCCCTGCCTGGTCCACGAAAGTGACGAAGCCAAAGCCCCTGGTCCAAGTGGGGCAGAGACGGAGAAAGAAAAAGGAAAGAAAGAGCACCATGGTTAGGGCTAAGGCCAGGGCCCGAGGAAAGGAGTGGGCAGAGGGCCGCCAAGGTGGGTGGGTGGGTCTTGGGGGAGGGGGGGGGCTCACCTGGATCTCTTGGTCAGTGGGTCCCGCATCACCAGACACTCCTTCACTTCTCCGAACTGGCCGAAGTATTCCCGTAGGCCCTCTGCAACCACACACCCGGCTTCGGACCAGCCCAGGGCCCCAGCGCCCCCCTCCCTGCCCTTATTGGGCCTGGCAGCCGAGAATCCTCGAGGCTCTCTGACCACCTTTGGAGCCCGCTTTGGCCATGGTCTAGTCACGGCCCCCTTCCCTCCCGCGGGCGGGGAGCCCTGCCATTAGCAACTGGGGAGAGCCGGCAGGCGACCAGGCAGGCAAGCAGGCAGCCCGGTGCGGCTCCGGAAATCTGGCGGCAGGGACCCGGGGCTGCAGGTCCGTCGGGCTCCCAGCTCCTCCCGGGGTTCCAACCTGGCTCCCGCCGCCACCGGGTTACAAAAGTTTGAGCCGCAGGTGCGAGAGCCGGCGCCCGGGCGGAGTTTGCGCGGCGCCCGCCCGCGCGCCGGAGGCTGAGCTCCCTCCCGGCTGGTCCCGGGGGCCCAGGCTGCCCAGCGCAGAGCTTCCCCACCCCAGCCCCGACTCTGGGCCCTCTCTCCCCCGACCTGGCCGTTCTGGCTTCTCCCGTTCGCTCCCTTGTGGTCTCAGCGCGGCTCAGGTCCGCGGTGGGTGAAGTTGGGGGGGGGGGGGGGGGGCGCGGCCAACCCCGGCCTGGGGGGCGCGGGGGGGGGGGGGGGGGGGGGGGGGACGACACGGCAAACCCAAGATTCGGATCCCGCGGAGTCGGGGAAGGGGCGCGGGCTCCTTGGGGGGGAGGGGGTCCCCGATCACCCAGGATGGGGAACCGGGGGGCGGAGTGTCCCCGATGGCCCGGCTGGAGCCCTGAGCGCCCGGCAGGGGAGGTCCCGGGGCCGGTGCCAGGCTGGCCAGGAGCGCGCCGGGAGCGAGCGGGGCTGGGGGTGGTGGGGTGTCCGGTTCCGGGGCCGCCCGCGCCCCGTGCCTGTCCGTCCCGTCCAGGCAGGGGTCCCTCCCGCTCCCCCGGGCCGGGCCCCGGCCCCGCTCACCCTGCGTGGTCTGCCAGCTAAGTCCCCCGATGAACATCTTGCTGCGGGAGGAGGGGGAGAGACACAAAGAGCCCGAGTGAGCGGGGGCCGGCCGCGGGGCCGGGGGAGCGCGGGGCTCGGGGCGCGAGCGGCGGAGCGGCGCCGGCTCCGGGCCGGCTGGGAGGCCCGGCCGGCCCCGGCATCGGCCATGTTGGTGGCTCCGGGCGGCGGGAGCAGCCGCCGGGGGAGGCCCGGGGCCCCGGGCGGGCCGTACCAGGGGTCGTGCGGCGAGTCCGGGGAGGCGAGGCCGGGCTGAGGCGCGTCTGTCTCCATCGGGACCCGCGGCGGGCGGCAGGGCGAGTGGAGCGGCGGCGGCGGCGGCGCTCGGCGCGGGGTAGAGGAGGAGAGCGGCGGCGGCGGAGGGGGCCGGACGGACAGGCCATGCTGCCCCCTCCCCCGACCCCGCTCGGGCGGGCGGGCGGGGACGGGAGGGGAGGGCCCGGCCGGGGCCAACCTGCGGGCTCCTCCCCCCGGCGCCCCGCGCGCATAAAGCCCCGCGCCGGCCTCCCTCCCGGGCTGGCAGAGGCGGCCGCGGCCGGTGCAGCTGGGGGCCAGGATCTGGAGGGGCCCCTAGCTAGCCTCCCCCCTCTCTCTCCGAGTAGCTCCCGAGAGTAGCGGAGCCCCGAGACTCCCCACCCTCACTTTCCCAGTGGGAAGAGCTTTTTTTCTGCACCCCCGCCCCTGTGCCAGGTGTCCGAGGATCCCCACTGCTCTGGTTTAAGGCGATCTCCCCCTCGGTGCAGTGGCCCCTGTGCGGAGCACCCCCTAACTCACCCCCCAATGCTGTGCCTGGTGATAGGAGTAGCCAGCCCTGTTTGAAAGCTCTCCCCTTTTCCCCACCCTCACGGACCCTGGCACATGTATACACTCTACCCAGACTAGGGTGAGAGGCACACACACCTCTTCCCCCCACCCCACTCCAAGAGGGGAGAGTGACAATAAAAAGGGAGTTCTGGATTATTGAAACCCTCTCATTGAGAGCTAGGTGGGGGTTCTCTCCAGGAGTTCCCTCCAGTTTGGGAACTCAGACCCTTAAGGTAGTCTTGCCCCATTCAGGGAGTCGTCTCTACCGTGCCCAAGGACCGTGACACTCCTTCCCCTAATACTGCCTTGCCTCACTCCCCCCCCCCCCATTTCTAAGGCTGGGGCCAGCAAGGAAAGGGTTAAACACCAGGCTGTTTAGGTAGGTGGGAAGGGTCTTGTTGCCTAGCCCTGAAGCTGCCACCACCTGGTGAGGAGAAGGATGCCCAGCCCAGAACTCCTTCCTGCCAAACTCCCTTTGGACTGACATTGTCCTCCATCCTCTCCTGATACCAAAAGTGGACTGGGGCTTATTATAAACCAAGTTAACTCCTGCCGGGAAGAAAGACGCTGTTCATGGAGGGAAGCTAGAAGCCTGGAACCTGTCCTCAACCCTGCCACTACCTTGGACAAGTCCATGTCGGGTGAGCCTCAGTGCCCTTATCTATCAAATGAAGTGGTTAGACTGAATGGTCTTAAGAGCCCGTCAGTTCAGTTTAACAGAGGTTTGGGCTAGGTGTCAGAGGTTCAAAGACAAAAGCAAAAGTCCCTGCCTTCAAGAAGCTTACATTCTTCCAGCTCCGATGTGCTGGCAGACCTCTCCCTGCTGCTCTCTCTACCCAGTGGAACAAGAAGGCCACCCATTTCACGACCAAGATGCCTTCCTTTCTCTTCCCCTCCTAGCCTTCTCATTATCAACAATCCTGAAAAACATACTCACCAGCTGGCACTCAGTGTCAGTCCCTTGGTGCTAAGCTGCTTTGTTAACCCTTTTCTTGCTGTCAACCTGGAATGCTCCCCCCCTCCCCTCCATCCCTAGCTCCATTTAAGGCTCAGCTCCTGAGCCAGTCACCTCAGTGTGAGGCCTCTCCCCACCCCCAATTACTTTGCATCTATTTTGAACTCACTTACCTAATTACAGGTTGGTTTCCCCCAGTAGAATAGAAACTCCTTGAATACAGAAATTGCATTTATTTGTATATTCCCAGTGCCTGGCACATAGTAGATGCATAGTTGTATTTGTACCTGAGCACCTAACACAATGGTTGGCACAAAGATGTTGCTTAACAAATGCTTCTCAGATGGAATTGAACCTGGGAATCTCCAGCCTCATCTCATATGATTCCCCTTGGCACACTGGACTTGCCAGTAAAATTGGATTGCTGCCAATGGTTACCATTCCCTCCTGTGGCCAAGCCTTTGCTCTGACCACAGCTCCGACCCCCCTCCACACGGGTTTAAAGGTTTCAAAACAATTTACGAGGACTGTCTCCTTTAAGGCTCACAAAGAGCCTGTGAGGTAGGTACGTACTGCAGACATTTATATGCCCAAGTTTTTAGAAAGAGTAAGTGATTTTTCTCCAGGGTCACTCAGCTAGTGAATGTCACAGGCAGGATTGGAACGCAAGTCTTCCAGATTCCAACCACAGCATCCTGCCAGGCACAAACTCGTAAGAGAGTTATTTCAGGGAAGAAGTGTGGAAATTAACTTGTGAAGTCCATCTCTTATAGCTCAGGCAGCTGCTGGCCTTTCCTCCCTCCCCAGTCTTCTACTTGATGCCTCTTCTCACTATCTTTTTAGTTATACTGCTTGGAACACATTACTTTATTCCATCTCCGACCTGCCTTCCCATTGTACTAACTGTGCTCCCATACCTGATGGCACTCCCTCCTCTGGCTTCCTTTAAGACTCACAAAGCCTTTCCTGTTTGTTGCCCCCCCCCCCCCCCCCCCCCCCCCCCCCCCCCCCCCGCCACCATGTTAAGGGGCAGGGGAGCTGCTATGGCCTAAAACTACATTTTTTCATTCTGTTTATAACCTGTATATACTCATATGTGCACATGCTATCTCCCCCCATTAGAATGTAATCTCCTTGAAGGCAGGGACTATTTAATTTTTGTCTTTTTCCCCCAGCACTAAGTTCAGTCCCTCACCTATGTTGTTGTTGTTCAGTCATGTCTATGAGCCTGTGGACCATAGCAATCAATACTGCCCATAGGATTTTCTTGGTAATGATACTGGAATAGTTTGCCATATCCTTCTCCAGATTATTTTACAGATGAGGAAACTGAGGCAAATAGGGTGAAGTGATTTGCCCAGGGTCACATAGCTAGTAAGTGTCTGAAGTTGGATTTGAACTCAGGTCTTCCTGACCCCGAGTCAGGCATTTTTATCCACTGAGCCATCTGGCTGCCTCACACATAGTAAACACTTACTTACTAAATATTGGTTGATTGATTGGCCAAGGGAAGGGAAGAGACTTACTTAAGGTCATACACCTAGTAAGCCAGGATTCCTTTGCAAGTGTTCTGATTCTAAGTCTTGTGGTCTTTCCACTGAACCACTGAACCACATTACCCACCAGGTCTATCTTTTATTCTTATGCACACAGATAATTAGGATCTGTTTACAAGTTGAAATATTCCCCCCACCCCAAGAAAAGGTAACCTCCTTGAAGTGGGGGGGGGACTTTTCTTGTTGTTGTTCTAGCTTTGTATCCCCATTTGCCTAGCATATGGCAGGCACTTAATAAAATGCTTTTGGGGATTGAATTGAACTTGCATACCTTCTGGGAGCTCTCAGCAGGGTTATCCTGTCGCCCTGGGTGACTGAAAAATAACTTGCCCTTTCTGGCTCTTTCATCCCTGACTCACCCACACCCACCCCTTCCACTTCCCAGCCTACCTTGGTCTGTAGCATGGGATTTAGAAATAGGCAGAAAAAGAGGGGGAGGGTAGAAAATGGTTATCTCACCCAAACCTTGAACAAACACTGACATAGGACATTGGTGGGATCTATTCTGGCAGAGAGACAGGTGAGAGCCAAAGGACATCAGCACATAGACTAAATAACCAGTGATTCTCCCCTGGTCATTAGCTGTCAGCCTTCCGCTGTCTGAGCGTGGGCATTTCATTATGCCTCAGTTTACCCACCTGTAAAATGGATCCATGTTATCTCTCACACTAGGGATTAAGGAGGAAAGTTCTTTAAGAATAACTGCGATGGAAAGACATAGGCAACAAGCTATAGCTATAGCAATCATATGTGACTTCTCTCTTTCTGGTCCTCTGTCTCCCCATCTATAAAATGGGCTCATCTAGTCCAATTCTTTCATTTTATAGATAAGGAAATTGAGACCAAGAGAGCTACCAATTCTATCATGGAATGTATGACTTTAGACAAGTCACTTAATCTCCCTGGGTCATAGATTCCTCATCTATGAAATAAGAAGGTTGAACTAAAAGGCCTTCAAAGTCCTTTCCAGCTCTACATTTATGGTTCTATAAAATGATTTGTCACAGAGGTAGTAGGGGATAGAACTGGGATTCGAACCCAGGGTTTCTGATTGTTCAGAGCTCTTTCCGCTACACCACATGAAAAAGTCCACTGTGACACAGGGCAAATCATTTTCCGTTATTGGGTTTCATTATTAAATCCCAGAATCCCAGAATCGGAATCTCAGAATTTCACAGAATTCTGAGATTCTGGGAGAAGTGCCAAGTCTCTCTTCTTCGCATCCCCGACCCTGACAAGGAATTGGGGTGGGGAGAGCCTATATAAGCAGTTCATTCCAATGTCGAACATCTCTGACCATTAAGAAAAACTCCCTATCATCAAGCCATTGTTTTAGTTCTTCCCTCTGGGGGAACTGGTCGTCAGATCATAACATTTGAAAGAATGATGTCTCAATGACCTCCTCTTCTCTTTCTTTCTTTCTTTCTTTCTTTCTTTCTCTCTCTCTCTTTCTTGCTCTCTTTCTTTCTCCCTCCCTCTTCCTTCCTTCCTTTCTTTTTCCTTTCTTTCTTTCTTATCCCTATTTTCTACTCTCTTACTGGAAAAAAAGAAAAGAAAAAAAAGCCCTTGTAACAAATAGACATAGTCAAGAAAAACAGATCCCCACATTACTTGTGTCTTACTTGGGATCCTGAGTCCATCACCTCTCTGTCAAGAGGTGGATAGTATGCGTCATCAACAGTCTTATAGACTTGTAGTTGGCCATTGCATTAATTAGAATTCTTGAGTATTTCCAAGTTGTTTTTCATTTTATACAGTGCTTTCCTGGTTCTGCTCATTCACTACTCTGCATCAGTTTATATAAAGGTCTTCCCAAGTTTCTCTGAAACCATACATTTCCTCATTCTTAACAACATAATATTCCATTACAATCATAAACATGAATTTGTTTAGCCATTCCCCAACTGATGGGCACCTCTTTAGTTTCCTGTTCTTTGATACTACAGAAAGAGCTGCTA